GACCAGAAATCGAATTTGCAACCATTTGGTATACAGGATGACACTCTAATCAACTGAGCCACCTGCCAGGGCTGACTTAAAAATTTTTCAGTATTATTTATCTGATGTTAATAATGTGCTACTTTTGTTTATAGTTCCTGGATAAACACACTACTTTTAGCATAAATCTAATTGCAGCACTTTGTTTTATTGTAAATTTTATTTTTAATTTTTATTTACTTTTTAATTTTATTGGGGTGACATTGGTTGACATGATCATATAGGTTTCAGGTGTGGGTTTCTATCTTTATTGTAAAATTTAAAAATACTATCTAAGAAAATCTAGCAATTTAAATTGTTACAAATTTGTTGTTTAATTATTCAAGGTCTAATTGAGCTCATCTTGTTTTATGTTTTACATTTTTTATGTTTATTGATTTTTGCTAGGGATTATCTTCAAGTTTTTAAAAAGTATTCTCTATTTCTACAATTTTTAATATTAAGAACAAAGCATTATCATTTGAATGTTCCATATAGAAGTTTTTGATACAGACTTGGTTTCTAAGACAAGATTGTTGTTAAAACTTAATTGTCACATTTTTTAAAACTTATGTTTTCAATTAACTTAATAAAATACGTACAACAAATAGTTTTACTCAGTTTCACCTCTTGGTCACTCTATACCAGAATTTCCTAATTAATTCCTAAGTTCTAGATCTTTTATTTCTCAGAATTCATCTTAATGTTTAAGTACTTGTGGAGGGTATAGTTTTCATGACTTTGCCATACTGAGAATGGGACAGTCTAATTATCATGACAGAAAGAATCATTAGCTGGGTTTAATATTTTTATTTCCTGAAATGTAGTAGGACAAGCTTCATTGTTTTAGGCTGACATTACATGATGTAAAGTAGAAGTCTGATGCCAACCTGGCATGCAGATGCTTGAGCAGCACTTGGTAGTCGGTGTCAGGATACTCAGAGGCCAGCAGAGTAACCCATGGTTTCCAGTCAGAGAAATGCGTTCTCATCTGGAGGTGACAACCATGACATATGCTGCCGGGTTTTTGTGAGGTTTAAATGAAAAAATGTATCCCAGAACTGGTTCAGATTAGGTGCACAGTCGGGGAACACAGTCGGGGGCATCAGACCTGGGATAATTTCCACTCCACCACGCATCTGGGGACTGGAAGAAGCCATGTAACTTCTGAGCCCCCTTCCCCATCTGAACAATGTGATTAATAGTGCCTGTCTTGCTTCCCTCAGTCTCATGGGCAATGCTGAAGGAAATGATAAAAAAGATAAAGGTTCCCGGTGGAAAAAAAACATGGACTGAAATTTATAAAACCTGGCTTTGATACTTGTTAGCTCTGCAACTTACGCTTCTAAAACACACTTTCTTTCTCTATAAAATAAAAGAGTTCAATTAGTTTATTTTTTATGCTTTTCTTATTAATAGTGATAAATTTGTAGAAATTCTTTTAATGTCCATACAGGATTAAAATAATCGCATAGCTATAATTTTAGGCCTGTCAGTACTAAGAATACTTTGCACCAAAACTTTTGTCCATCTTCTGAATAATTACTTCATTCTGCTTTCTTGTATCTAAAGCACTTGGCTGCATTTTGGAACACTCGAAGCTTTCATCAGGGTTCTGCTAATGAGTTCAGCCCTCTTCTGTCACCCATTTTGGTGAGGTAGGAGGGGTGGGGTAACTGAAGACCAGCTTGCCTGTTGTCCTAAGTTTATCCCACACATCAGTGGGTTAATCTGTCATGTACATTCATAGGAATGAAAATGCTGGTTTTGGACAGGAACTTCTAGACTCTGCAACCATGACAACCATCTCCGGGCTCTCCATTTCATAAATGTCACACCTGTAGTACTTTCAAGGGCCTTGGAGTTCTTCCCATCCAGCCCCTCAATTTTCAAATGGGAGGCTGGGGCCCAGAGAAGCAGCTTGCTAGAGGCCACCGTAATTGAGCAGAGAAAATCCAAAGTCTGGACACGTTGCGTGCAGTGTGCCCAGTTCTTCTACAGCAGTGGTTCTCACCCTTGGCTGCACATTAGAATCACCTGGGAATTTTTTTTTTAATCCTGATTTCCGGGCCTCATCCTCTGGAATTTCTGTTTCTTTGTTATGGGGTGGGGCCACAACATTAGTAACAAAGAAACAGAATTTCCGGAGGATGAGGCCCAGAAATCAGGATTTTAAAAAGATTCCCAGGTGATTCTAATGTGCAGCCAAGGTTGAGAACCACTGTCCTACAGGGATTACCAGTGAGAACATAAAACCTGGCACTCGCCCATAGTGGCAGCGCTCATTGTAAGATCTGCCCTTCTCACTTCTTGCCACTCTTCAGCTAGAAGCAGAGGTGTCTGTTTTATTTCAGGTGTGACATTTTACAGCATTAACACTTTTTACTGACAAGTGGCATTGAGGTAATCATATTTGACCTCTTCTGTTCACTCTTTCTTAATCTTGGCTACCTTTATAGAGGACTGATTAATTGTTAACAACTGACCCAATAAGGAAGGGTCAGACCTATGAGGAACTTCATTTTACAGATGGGGGAAATGAAGGTAAGAGAGGTTAAATAACTTTCCAACATCATTACATGGTAGGCCTGAGGTGAATTCAGTTAATGTAACTTAACTACAGTAGGTCCTCATTTAACGTCGTAGGTAGGTTCTTAGAACTGTGACTAATTGATAAAAATGAGTTAAGTTCGGTAGCTCATCAATATTATAGTGAAACAACCGTCCACAGTGAAATGGACATTGAGGACCTGCTGCACTCTTCACACTTGGCACATGGTAGAAAGAGCAAGGCCTCGATCTTGTCAATAATAATTGCACATACTCCAGTTAGACACATGGATTTGCTGGGTGCCCAAGTGTGTGCACCCTGAAGTGCAAGGTCTCCATGGGAAACAATTCCTTATAGCCATATGTGTGTGTATGTGTGCGTGCATGAATATATTTATGTTTACGTATAATTAATGTATCATGTTTAACATCTAAGCACTTTTGCCATTTTTAGTTTATTCATAATGGTAGGGTAGATTAAACCGTGGTATTTATTAGAAGGAGAAAGAGTTATTTTCACGTCACCTTGCACATAACAGCTCTTTAATAAATGCCTGTTGAATTAATCTCTAATGAAATGGCGCTGGGTCAGGCACCAGAAGATCAAGGCTCCAAATCCTGGTTTTCACAGCAATTCACTGTGAGCATTGGGCCGGGTCGGTGTCTGGCCAGGAGCCTAGTTTTCCATCTCACGTGAGTGCAGAAGCATAAGGATGGGCATTCTGCAGGGCTGTGTTCATCCGAGGGCCCACAGTTGGAGTGGCACTTGGGCACTCGGGCGTGTGAGGCTGGGTTGCCTGGCATTGTCGGGTCCCAGGTGTTTCTTCCCGGGGAGCGTGCAGAGGCCCCTGGGAACCAGTGAGGGTGAAAAGCGCAAGAGCCACGCGGCGAGACCGCAGGAGCCGCCAGGTCCCCGAGCGGGAGAGGAAGATAAGTGATGTGCGTGGGGCAGAACCGGATGTGAACAGCTGTCAAGGTCACCCCTCAGGACGGAGGACGGGGCGGAGAGCAGTGAGCGCTGCAGCAGTGCAGACCCCAGGGCTTTCAACCGAGCAGGAGGCCCGAGAGCGCCCAGGAGGGAGCCCTCTGCTAGGAGCGCGGGGGCGCCCAGGGTCTGAGCTTTTATTCATTGGCGTTTACGGATATCAAGTCAACCTGTGCCTGATTCTGACTTCTTTCCCTCTTCATTCTGCCCATATGCCCGTAGTGGCCAGGTAAAAATCAAGAAAACGCAGGTTACAAACTAAAGAGAGAGCTGAGGTTGCTGAGGCGTCGTCATCTCCAAAGGTTCGCGTTTCTGTCCTTCCATCAGGCTTTCTGATAAGAAAACCTTAGGCTTACTTGATTACAGTAATATTAGAAGTTTCCAGCCCCTTTTGTTCAATCCCAAATCCAATATGGTCTGAAAACAGATTTCTAAAATACTTCTGGGGCAAACTCATTTGGGGGTAAACATGACTCAAGCTGACAGGATATTATTTACAATTTCTCTTTCCCTCACTTAGTGGAAATAGTCTTACGCAAAAATATTCGTGGGTTTGATTACAGAGCGCCTCCACAGAACCTGCTGTGGGTAATAGCGACTTAGGGAAAAATGCTTCTTTCTACCTTTCTGAAATTGGAAGAATTCTGAATTCCAAACGCATTTGGCCCCAAGGATCTGAGAGAGGAGATTGTCACCCCACATATTGTTTTTCGTAAATGTTGGTGTATTTATCCCTGGAGGAAATGAGTATGTTGTTTTCTTCCTTCACAGAGAAAAGAAAAAAAAGTGGGGGTGGAGGGCGGGGAGGAGAAGCAAAACAAATGTGTAAATAGAGGGGCTCTCGTGCTAATACACTGTAACGGAAGCTTTTTAAGCCCTGGTTTTCAACAGAAGTAGATGTTTTGGAGGACAGAAATCTAGATCTGTACCTTTCCTGCAATTAAAAAATAAACACCGATTCCGCTGTGGAACTGCATCATCCTCGGCTCCCCCTTTGCAGCAAAAGAGCTGCTCAGCCTAGTGACTCGTGGTGCCACAGCGCCACCTGTCCTCCAGGTTTGGGATAGCATCTTCATACAGCCACTGGCTGACTTTCCTGCTTAGGCTTTTCAGTACCGGGACTGCAAGGAAACAGTTGCGTGGTATTCAAATCCTAAAGAAGAGCTGCAAAGGGAGCAAGCAAATGTGTTTTCTTCTCTTTGGTCCCTGATCAATTAAATCGTAACTTACTCCTCTGTTAGGGAGTGTGGGCCATAGGCCCTGCGTATAATTAGTTTGCACCTAGTAAGTCATTTTTCCGCACTGGGCATTTTAATTTACAACCTGCTGCCTTGCAGCACTTTTCTAGGCCTTCTGCTGTGCAACAATATATTCTTCTAGTTGCTGAGACCTGAAAAATATAGATAGACTTTCTTAGTTCCGATATTTCTTTCTTTTCCATTTTCAGCTGCAAATCAAACATGCAGTTACAGAAGCAGAGATTCAAAAATTGAAGACCAAGGTAAGCGCACCAGTCAATACATGGAGTTTGAATTCTACTTTTTAAACTTCGGATGCTATGAATAAATTCAGCCCTGGGACTAAAGGATTTGTTCCCGTACCATTGAAAGAATACAAATGTCACAGATTCATGTCCACTGTTAGATGCATGGATGAATCTGGCAGTGAGAGTTGCACCACGGGGGTGTGAGCACCACCGTACCCCCTTAGTGAAAATTGCACAATATTTTAAAAATACATATTTACATATTTACACATATGTAGTTTCCTCAGAGCTTTCCCCAAAAAGTAAATATTTTTAATGGTTCATGAATCTCAATTACATTTTGACCACTAATTCCTTATGCACAAGTTATTAGACTGTATCTCTTTCTTTTTATTTTATTATTTTTTAAATTTTAAGTAGGTTTATTTTAGATAGGTTTAATCATTTATTTTTCATTTATTCCTCAGGAACAATGTATTTTAACATAGCACATTAATTTTGTAGAGAAAAAAATTTCAATTTCTAATAAATATCATGAAATTTAATATATGAATAGTTGCTTGTAGGTGCCAGATGCTTCTGGAAATTTTCAGTCCTTTAGTTCACATTATTTAAATTTGTGGGGAAAAACAGGTCATGATGGAAGGTTTTATGTATTTTTTAGTTTATAAGACTCAAAAGGGCATTTTTTAAATTGGTAAGTTATAAGGTACTTGTACATTCCTAGAATTGTGTCTAGTTTCATCAAATATGTAGTTTCAGAGATTTAAAAATATCTTTTGAATTATTTTAAAAACAATATTCTTTATTGTATTTATGGTATTTTTAAAATTAAGACATAATTCCTCCTCTACCACTAACAATCTGTTTTTCTGTTCACATTGAATGCTTGTTTTGGTTTTTCCATGTGTTTTAAATGGAGATTAATTAGCAAGGCTATTTTGCTTAAATGGTATTCCCAGCTAATAACTCTGTAGCTCTTTAGTCAAAACATGCCTATACATCATTCATGGTATCAGCCAAGCTCTGTGAATAATAATTTTTAAATTAGTGATGGTTAGTAAATAAACAACTTGAGTGCAAAACATTGCTTAATAAAAGATGCAGTAAAATCCCAGTCCTGTTTTAAGCTGCTATTGTTTCTTGGCACAGAATGGAAGAATAGAAGTGTTTTTTTAATTGTCGGTTACAATTAGGGAAAAGATTCCCCTGTGATTGTAAGTGCTTTAACAAAGCTTATGTTTTAGACTATAAACATTGAATTTAGAAAATCCAATAAATTAGTGTTTTATTTTTCTCATTATTATATTGGCATATAATATCCATAGATTAGCTTACTTTATTATGACTCTTAATGTCTCTGTTGATAAAACAATGCCTAATTTTGAAATGTTATTTTTGCTACTTTTTACTTTGTAATCTGTTTTGCCAATATATTTAGTTTAAAATATATATATATAACATTTTTAAATTTGCTGAATACTGTATGATTTTGGGATGTCTTGGAATTTGAAAATAGTTTATATAATGATTCTGCATGCTTTTGAACTTTAAACGAGGTGTGTGAAATAGATGAAACCCTTGTTTAAAGGTCAGATAGTTATTGTGAATAAATGACCTTGGACCCCTCACCTAAAGGATCACCCTTAGTTTCTGTAGAAATGAGGGGGTGGGACTACTATTATCTATTCCTAACAGTCCCCGGAAGCGGAAATAAGAAGCTGCCTTTCTGTTCCACTGGAGGGATTTAAATTAATTCAACAATTATTTATATTTTTACTTACATCATCTTTTATACTTTCCTGCAGATTGGGGTTTATAAAGCTCTGAACACTGCCAGCAAAATAATGAGCTAAAAACTGTGTTCATGTCAATTGAAATAAAGGATGTAATAATATCAACAAAAGGGATAAAAGCAAAATAAAAATAACTAAATTTATCAGATTATTATTATGCGCAAGAAGCTGTTCCAAGCATGCGCTAGTTAGAGAACTTAAGTTATTTGCCCAAGATTTAAAGGCATTGTGATGGCTGTGCCTGGGGGCCAGGTGGCTGCCTGAAGCATGGGGGAGGGGAGCACTTGTAAAGCACTACTAACCACTTTGCTGTACTTCTGAAACTAAAACAGAATAATATTGAATGTAAACTGTAACTGAAAAAAAATAATTAATTACAACAAATAAATAAAATGGGAAAAAAGGCTGGTGGTGGCCTGGCTAGGATTCAAATCTAAATGTAATGACTCCAGAGCGCCCCCTTCCTGCCAACTGACAGGCCACACTGTGCTTCTGCCCCTTTCTTCTTTCCAGCTGTCTCTCCTCTCTCCCTTTTTTACATATTATACATTTTTTAAAAAAAATCTCTAAACTGCAATTGAAAAAAATTAATTTTTTAAAGGCTAATAGTGACAGCTGGGTTCAAATATAAACCACTCCAAAGCCCCCCTCCCCGCCAACCAATAGGCCACACTGTGCTTCTGTCACTTTCTCCTTTTCATTTAAATTTTAACATATTATACTTAAAAATATATATATCTAAAGGAAAACCTGCTGAAATTCATTGACTAGAATTAGATAAACTCTAAAACATTTTTTACTGCTCACTGAATTTCACACCACATTCAGTGATGGAAAGATAATGGGAATTGGAGTCAACCCCATGTTTTGTCATTTATCAGTTGTGCGGCCTTGGACAAAGCATTTCACTTTTCAAGGCTTCAATTTTATAATCTGTAAAATAATGAAAATAATGCTTTCGCTTCTCATCTCAAGGTGTTTGGTGATTGAGTATATCTAACAGTTGAATTTAATCAAAACCATGCTATTAAAATGTGGGGGATTTTTGGTACAGATGTACCCAGATTATCTTTGTCTTGACATTTTTTTTTTTTATCCAGCTGCAGGCAGCAGAAAATGAGAAAGTGAGGTGGGAACTAGAAAAAACTCAACTCCAACAGAATATAGAAGAGAATAAAGAAAGAATGTTGAAGTTGGAGAGCTACTGGATCGAGGCTCAAACACTATGCCACACAGTCAACGAACACCTCAAAGAGACTCAAAGCCAGTATCAGGCCTTGGAAAAGAAATACAACAAGGCAAAGAAATTGATCAAGGATTTTCAACAAAAGTAAGCACTTCTAACGACTAAAAAATACTTGTATGCATATAAAAAAGGTTTGTCTCCAGTAATCTTATCATCTCTAGTGGGATAGAAAAGATGACCTCAGACTTATCCCTCGAAGAAGCATAGTTAAAGCAAATATATATGTTAAGTTTTGGAAAACAGTTTTATCTTTTTTTTTAGGAGATTATACTTTGTTTTATCATTTTTTTGGCAGCCAGTGACACCATGAAGTTGTTTCTTTGATCGTTAATCATTGCTAGTTACTGTTAAAACATTTGAAATCTCTGTTCTTCTTGAAACATCCCTGTAATTCAGAAGCAGGAAGCCTCGCTGAAGTCGGGCAGGGCTCTTGGCCGCAGTGCATGCAGAGCAGCAATTGGGGCCTTGCTGAGTCTGTTTCCGCCTCCGTTCTCAGACTCAGTAACTGCAGGATTTTCCCACTACAGAGGGTATAAATATTGACGAGCAAGACCCCCTGCCCTGCCACTTCCCTGCAGTCAGAGACCAGCACCACAATCGGCTCTTGAATTCAGCAGCTGATGCTGCTTTGCTTCCATCTGTTGGATCTCGGCGAAATTTCAGGGAGACTGACGGGGGAGATTCGTACTGGACTTTCTCATCAGTTACTGCTAGCTCGCTAGAACAATCAAAAAGGAATGCCAGGCCCTCTTCTGGCCTTCCATGCCAAGCCTCAGAAGCGAAGCATACTGCTATATGTCAGATTCACCATATCTCAGTTACTTCCTATCATGGAAATAATGTTTTCAATATTTAAAAGAAAATGCTGTAAAACGTTTATTGGTTAAAAGGGGGGAATTGCTCTTTGTAACAGTGAATTCAGCACATCGCTATTTTAACTTTTCTTAACTCTGTCATAAAATAATTTTGTAAGTTTTGATAAATTTGCATATTATAGTCCAGGCTCTCAAAATGAAGATAATTCTCCTTCTCCCCCTGTTATCCTCAGGGTAATAAATGACAACTCTCCCTCTGTTTTTATGACCCACCAGCCCTTTTCCACGGTCATTCATAGGAATCTATCTTATTATAATTTTCTTTGACCATTCAGTTCCACCAGTTTGCTAGATATATTACTCTATAAATGTAATTTTTAAAAAGGCTAATAGTGACACCACCTGACATGTAATTATTTCCACTAAATTACTCAAGGTGGATCATTGGTTTATTAGCTCTAAAAATGTATGGGTGCTCTAGAATCAGGAGCTGCAAATGAAAATCATAGTAAGCAGAATCAAGGCATTTTTCTTTACTTTGTGCTACATTAAAATGTTTTACTTGCTTTCATTGCTATATATGTTTTCTCTAACTATGATTGAATTTTATTTATGTAAATAGCTGTCCAGTTATTTATCCCACTGTGTAGTTTATTGATTCCAATAACAACATTCACATGTTTCCTCATTTCTTGAGTGTTTGATGCAATCAGAGCTGTTATTTTCTTCTTCAGAGAACTTGATTTCATCAAGAGACAGGAAGCAGAAAGAAAGAAAATAGAAGATTTGGAAAAGGCTCATGTTGTGGAAGTTCAAGGCCTGCAAGTGAGGGTGAGTGATGTGCCAAAGCCATGAAAATAATAAGATAGTTTTGCCTAGTACTTGGAGAGGAGTGCTGGGTTCGAGTTTTAGAAATGGATTTTTTTTCTTTTTTCTCTCAGATTAGAGATTTGGAGGTTGAGGTGTTCAGGCTGCTGAAGCAAAATGGGACTCAAGTTAACAACAACAACAACATCTTTGAGAGAAGAACATCTCTTGGAGAAGTCTCTAAGGGAGACACCATGGAGAACGTGGATGTCAAGCAGATGTCTTGTCCAGATGGCCTGAGTCAAGGTTTGTCTAACCCTTGTTTAGACAAACATTGTTTTTAATGACTGTAAAATCTGGCTTTACATTCTTTTTCTTATCCGGGGATTTAAATGTTGAAAACGCCTTTCTACCATGGGAAAGAAGAAAAGGTTTATCAAAATAGGAACTTATCATTTAGCACTCACTTGTCTTATCAAAAGTAAATGCTTTAATGTTAAGAAACAAAATTCCAACTTATGCAAGCCCAAATATTATTTTAAAACCATCATAACATTGATAGACTTAATAAATTGCCTTAAAGTGATAGTTCATTTAGAGTGAGCTACACTACTTATCTATTAATGAGTAAGGTTTGAAATTTTTAAATCACTAGAGTAAAGATCTTTTTTATAACTACTTCCAGCTCTTGGAATTCATTGAGTTAAGATGTTCTACGCAAGTTTTTTGCTTTTCTCTTGCTGTCCTATATCTAATTCTCATTCTTTTATTCTGTTTAAGACCAAATAATGGGACCAAAATACTGGAAACATTTTCTATATAAATGGTTGTCTTCTTTCACACACCAACCATAAATAAATCACTGATTTTCTCACTCACATACACACCTATACATAAATTGTGTGTGTATGAATGTGAAGGAATGTCTTAATATCTATAGTATATTTACAGATTAAAAAATGTGTAAGAATTTATACTTATAAATACACAGGGGGATATAAAATTTTTGGTTAAAATAGCTCCCCAGTAGTCCCTGGAGGGGAAGGGGAATAAGAGAATATATAGCAGCAATGTCATGAGAGAGCCGACGATCATAGGCAGGGATTGAACCCGCAGTAACGTTAACTTGTAGAACTAAACTCTTAGCCATTAAAAATGAAACATATTGGAAATCTTCATTTAAAACTGAAGTGGTAGCTAGAGACTTGAGTCCATTCACTGAGCTTATATCTTTTTCTGGGTTTTCCCTTAATAAGATATAATCTGTATATAATGCCTCCTGGGCAGCTTAAATGTGAGTATTGAGCTCCAGCATTACCATTCACTGAAGAGCCATGTGACTTCCTTAAGGTCATTCAACTCAGTGGGGTGAGTTTTACTGTCTATTATATATAAATAGTAACACTTCCTTCTTCCCCACCTAAAGAGTATTGTGAGGCTGTATGACTTAGTCAGTGAAGTGAAAGAAGGCAATTCTTTAGAGCTTTTAGAGAATTACAATGTTTATGTCTGTGACTATGTAAGATTGATTTCTATAACAAAATGTCAAAAATCAACACGTTTTCATGTTTTGGAATATTGTAATTCCTAAAAGCAGTTGCACTTATAATAAACACGTGTCCCGGTATGGCGTGAACAAGGTATAACCTGTGACCAGCAGCTCTCCAGACTCCGATTCACTTCTGTTCCTTTCTCTCAGTTCAGAAATCTGTATCTTGTCAAACATATAATTAATGGTATTTATTAAATTATATGACTGCAGAAGATCAACAAACTGTACTATTAACATCCTGATTTAGAGCAAAACCTCACATTTCTTCTGAACCCTTCTTCCCTTCTACACCCTCCATTTTGCCACATAATTATCAGTTTCCCTAGCAACAGTGTCAGTTCACAGTGAGATGCAGGGACTACTGATTCTTGCTGAAGCTCATCTCTGCTTGTGCAGCAGAGGTGGAATCTGTCATCTCCGATGTTAGTAGTGTACATATCAAGAGCTGCTCTTCCAGTGTCGCTGCTGAGGACAGTCAGTGATAAATCTCCTTGAATTTCAAACTAAATGGCTTGGTCAGGAACTAGATAGGAATGCTCTGGAAAGCACTTTCCTAAATTGATCCTTTGCTTCTGTTGCTAGGGAACGCTGAAGTCCTAGAGGTTTAGAAAAGGAAGTGAAATGTGGACCAAACACAGGCCATTCTGCATTTAAGGATCCTCCTCCAACAAACACATTTTTGCAACAGGAGGGGTCCAGTGGCTGCAGTCAGTTCCCCAGCTCCTGCCCCTCAGACTCAGTGCTCTGCCTCCTGGGGACTGTCCAGCTATGATTTGCTTTCTAAGCACTGGATGTTTTACTGATAGGATGAGTTGATTAGCATATTTTCAGGCCTCCAGGCGGCTCATTGAAGCAAAAGGATTATCAATTATAGGTCAATGAAAACGATGTTAGGATGAAATAGTGAAAGGAGAAAGGAAGGGGAGAGTGAAGGAGTCAGAAAGGACAGAGGGAAGAAGAGCAGATAAGCAGCCATTTCTTCGAATGCACGCATGTTCTTCTAGGACAGAGCTCCCCAGCTGCGATGGATTCATTATGTGGCTCTCAATATTGAATTATTGACAAAACTATTTTTCCAGCCATGAACAAGTTTACCCCATTAAAGTTATATCTGAACATCATTTGTATGGTTCTCTACAAACTAAGCCACTCAAATATCTCATTAAATTTTTGATAGAACATATATTGCTCAATATACTTGAATGATTTTTTCTTATAATATATAAAGCAAATATAGCAATTATTTTTCATCAAGAGCCATAACAAACCCTAAATCCCTTCTAGTGTGTGGCCATGTACTGGACAAATATAATTTTACACCTGTTCCAGGATGTGGAAAATAATTTTTCCCTGCTGCCGTGTTTCACGTCCACAGATGACTCTGGTTGAGAGAGTTCTCGACATTGTATCCAAGTGCCCTGAAGTGACCAGATATGCCCGTGGCTTCCCAGCTAGTTAGGTCAGCATTAGACTAAACACAGAGAACAGGCATGTAGAGAGATCTTGGTAGGAGAAACGGTTAGAGCCTTAGTTGGATTAGACTCCCTAGAAAAGTCACCTGAACAGCAGCTCTTCCTCAGTTTCTAAATATTCCAGGATCTTTATGCTAATACTGTTTTCAGCTTCAAGTATTTTAAAGGCTGTTTGTTAAAGAAAAAGTATGCATATTCCATAGAGATACTCAAAGACAAGGACTGATACTTCATATAGTGGAAACTATATGAAGGCAGATTATGATTATTCTATCGTGAGGGGTCAGAAGAACCACACCTTTAAAAGGTTACTTTGAACGCTGGACGCCTGGTGGCACACTGACTTGTAAGAGGAAGGGTGGCTACAAGGTAGAAAGAACAGTGTTTGGGCCTGTTAAGTGTGCAACAAGATATATGATTTGTAGGATGGCTGGGACCAAGGGTGAGGAAGATAAGAAAGGGTTTGATATAAGACAGATAAGATACATTTTAAGAAATGAGAGGGAGTGTGAAGAAAAGAGAAAAATGAATAAAAACGGAATAATATTTTCCTGATTTGTAGACTTTATGTTAAAGGTGGTACCTTATGTTAATGCTGTGTCATAAGGTATTCTCGGAGTAACTGTAGACTTTCAATGCCTGAAAAAGAGTTTATACTTAATTCTGTAAGCATTGTGACCCATTAATGATATTGAGGCAAAATAGGAGCTGGGTCATGTGTTATCATTGTAGACCAAGCATCTCTGATTTTTTTTTTACAAGATACCAATTATAATAGCAACAGAAAAGATATGGTAGGCAGTATGAATTCAATAAAATAACCTCAAGACCTATGGAAAGACATTCAAGAAGACCTGTATAAATCAGAAGAGGTAGGAAATTATAAAAAATTCCATTATGCCAAATTGTTCTATATATTCCACACAGTTTTGATTAGAATTTAAACGGGGCCTTTATTATTATTATTATTTTAGAACTTGACAAGTTGTTTCTAAAACATATATGGAACAATACTTGGCCCAGAGTAGTCAAGATACTCCTGAAGAAATACATGCAAAGGAACTTCTCTTTTTTAATTTTTAATTTTTTTTCTTTATTGATTAAGGTTATTACATATGTGTCCTTATCGCCCCATTGCCTCCCCATCCCCCAACCCCCCC